AAATTAATGAGGTCGAAATAGACGGTCAAATGGTTGATTACATTTTTGTCCAATAATTAACTATTTTCAATACACATAAAGAGCTACTAAGACCTCCGCATAATACCAAATTCTGCTCAAATACCGCTCGAATCCTTACAACTTTGCTGTTTAGCGCCATTCAAGTCCCTCCCGTGTTTCCTGGGCAAATCCCACAACCGTCGCTCGATTCAAGCTTCCGCTCTGGCTCTTAATATGAGAGCGAGCGAGGCTCTCGGTCCTTTCTTTTGCGACACCAACTGAACCTCCTATCCCTCTTCATCTCCTTCCGTACGTCTTCTCTGCCGTGAAGTCCATTGATCTCGTCACCTACTCCAAACTCTTCAGCCTATGTTTCTCCACCATACCAAGATCCTTGCCTCTACCTGATGAACGCAACCAAGCCGACTCCACCTCATGCAAGACCTATCCGACCTCCCTTCACCAAGCCGAACTTCACGCACAACACCTAATGTCCACAGGCCGACCTCGTCACCAAGCTCATGTCCATCCCTCCCTTGTTGATCCCTTCACTGTGCCGCATCCATCTCACATCCGGGCTTCCAATCGACTACCCTGCACTCGATCTCACCCGCAGCTCCTACTATTATGCTCCTCACTGTCGATTGAGCTCATCTGACCTCCACAACAAACAAAGCCGAACCTTAAGACCGAGCCTCGTCAACTTCAGTCCGGACAGAGCCCGCAAAGCTCCCACCTGGCCACAAACCTCCAGAACCCCTTCTAGCACGAGCTTCTCAATATTCACGATCTTAGAACACTTGACCTCCCTTGACCGATCTCCTCCTATAGACTCGACATCCATGGCTCAAATTTTCTCACTGAGTCGCAATCTGCTCACTGGACCTCCTCTCTGTTTCTCCCAGTCACATGTGAGCATCCTGATCCATGCCCTATCCGTCAACACCCACCCACTCAACATCCCCTCACGCCTCTAGTACTCAACCCAAATCCCTCACCCAGCTCGAAGCCAACCTCCCTCTTGCAATCAAACTCCAGCAGCCTTCCTCCACTACAGTAGCCACAATAACCCGTTATATGCCTCTGTTTAGTTCCAACAATGGCCTCACTTAATCTCCCTCCTCACAAACCCCACAACAACTTATTCTCCGCCTTTTATTTTTATTATTATTATTATTTAGTATTATTATAAAAAAGAGAAGTAAAAAAAAGAAAAGAGAAAGCAAAAAAAAGAAGAAGAAAGATAAGAGAAAAAAGTTTAAATTTTGTGTGCCTCGATTCACGTGCACATTTTTCTTGACATTGCCGCCGTCGTCCTTGCGCAAAGGTATAATGCTCTCTAAACACAAAATCTCATTCTTGGCGCTCGTGGCATACTAGGGAATTCCCTATACACGTTCTTAGTAGCATGGTGGGAGGGAACCTGACAAGTCGCTTTTAGCCAGGCGGGTAGACCCTTGTACGCTCTTCGTAGCATGGCAGGGATAATTTTAAGTACCTGTGTATGTGCTTTAGTGCTCACAGGGAAAAACTGCGCATTTCAAACAGGTACCTCAAAGTCGCAGCATTGTGGGATTGAAAAACTACAGCCGCGATATCACTTGACATCTACCATACATGCTCTTCATAGCGTGGTGGGAAGGCCCAGCTCCCCAAATTTTTCATAAATGGGAGAGATGCCGGGAGGTTGTCAAAATTTTCAGTGGATAGAGGACCTGAACTAAAACAAAATATAGGGGACCAAACTCATAGCCACAAAGAACCGAACATACAAATTTGAACAGCTAAGAACTGAACTCACAAATACGGGGGACTTGAACAAAGACAACAGGTAATTGAATTTGCACATCAGGGAATTGAACCTAATATCCAACATAAAAATACAACTCATGAAATGACAAAATTAAAATGCAAACATGCAAGTAAAAGCTTGAATGAGCTAGCAGGGGATTTGTGGCGGACCAAGCTTGAAGCATAGCTTACTTGCAACAGGAATTTATAAAAGACATGCCTACAAGCAATGGTATAGAATTTCCAAGGAATATCAAAAGACATCATGCCCGTTGAAACACAAACACTAACGAGCAACATTTGTGTGTGCATTATGCATATTACAGATCACTTTTAAGGACATCAAATGACTTGTAATATACATAACAGATCACCTATATGTGGTAATAATAAGTATACAATGAACATGATGTCTTATCAATGGTCGTATACGAGAAATGTGGCATACCTGAAAGCAAAGAGGGGAAGTTGCAAGGAAAATAGCCTGCTAATTATCGATATCGATTAGCTAGCAAGGGTGTAATCATGACAAGCAACATCACTAGGTTTATCATGCAAACTATAAATCACCTTCAAGGATGACGAAGAACCCACAATATACACGACGATTTACCTGTGGCCATGTACGAAGAAGGCAGTATGACTAGAAATAAAGGAAAGAGGATTGAAATAACTCGTTTTCAATCAACAACAGTTAGCTGACAGACAAGTGTCTTAGTCCACCTGTGAGCGACGACAACGGATGAGCTATGAATATGACAGTAATCCTACAACCAATATCAGCTAGCTCGCAAATACATTATGCTACTCTCATGAATGTTGAAAGACATGGAAGCAAATATAGCAGCTGGCCAGTTAATATGCATAAGGAAATTGGTGATGAATATCGACCACCTAAGAGCTCACATTAACTTGCAATGAACACTACGACATCCCCTCAATCAACATAAGCTGGTATGCAAATAAAAGCGTCGGTCCCCTCCGAACACTGGAAATCAATGTGTAATAAACACATCAGCTTGCCTGCAAATGACAAAGCCTTTTGCCAACTGGCACAATGCAAGATGCAATGAATATGAACACTTGCTGACAACAACGAAAGATTTGTCATATGCACAATAATATGCCTACGAGCGTTAATCAGTGATAAACAACGAATGCTATAATTCACTTGTAAGCAAAAGCAGGGAATCTATAGTTAAAATTTGCAGGTCACTGGTAAACTGAGGTAATGAATTTGCAGTGCCAGGTTGTCACGCAAGATAAATCAGTTTACTCACCAGCGACAGGTAGGAGATTCCTGACGCACAACACAGCTCATTTTGCAAGCTGAAGCGTAGTCAAGCAGGCTGGATGCTGAGGAAAATAGCAACTTGCATAAGGTAATATGAGCAAAACCACATTGCCAATGCACGATAAATGAAATTCAACGCGCTGCTAAACCACGCCACCGTATTTGCAACACTCGTACAAGTAGACAGAAGACGTCTAATATGCGGAAGATGAAAATAGATGAACCACATCGCCAATGTACAACAGATGAAGTTCAATGCACTGTTAAATAACGTCACCGAACCTGCAACACTCGTACAAGTAGACAGAAGGCGTCTAAGATGCGGAAGATAAAATGGATGAACCGCATCGCCAGTGTACGACAGATGAAGTCTAATGCACTGTTAAATAATGTTGCCGGATCGTCAACACTCGTACAAGTAGACATAAGACGTCTACAAGATTCTAAATAGAACACTGCGCACACTCAAATTACAATCATTTGCATGATTGATTAATGATTAATGTCAAACACTCTAGAATGCCCTCCCACATACATGCATACATATACACAAGTGCATAAATGAGCATATTAACATGTAAAAAGTATAAGTACATATGTAAACATGCAAATATGGCATATAAAAATATATACAATTAAATACTCGCATGGGCCCCGACGAGCGTGTCGTAGGTACATATGTGACGTCTGAGACTGCTGCGCATTCATTAACTTTCTATGAAAAATGTGAATCACATCATATTACTTATCGTCCATGCCAATCTAACCAATCATTGAATATGAGAAAAATAAAAATGTGATTTAACTTACAACAATAACTAAATAAGTATGAATAATATCCTTCTATGCATTAAATTTAAAGAAGCAAAATCATTATTGTAATTAAAAAGACATTACTCACCTGGGTATTGTGCCACTTTACTCTTGCTCCTTACTCCGACATTGGTAGATTTGATGCCTATATAAAGACTTCATCGTTAAAATTTAATTAATAAATTGCTCTTAATTTCTCTAACTCAAATATTATTTACTTTTAATATTTAAAATTTCCTCCCATAATTTAAATGTATCGTAAATCTAAAATCTTATAAATATCTTTTTCTAACTAGCTATTGAATATACTTAATTAACTGTTGTAATTAATTTATTTCTAAAAGAATTAAATAAAGTATAAAATCTATTCTCCTTACTCTATTATTTAAAATGAATAAAATTCATAATTTAATATATATCTTAAGTTAATACTCTCATTTTTCTATAGATAGTTAAATTAATAACAACTTAATTTATGGATTAAAATCTCATATGAATTTATGGTCTCTCTCTATATATCTTCTATTTATCATAATATTAAATTTTTAATATAATCATTTTCAAAATATAAATTTTTTTATTAAATTTCCTTAATAACATTTACTAATTTATTCTAAGAAAATCAATAATTTCAATTTAATAATTAAGTATTAGATAAGATCTTAGGTTTATTTTATCATTATTATTGTTATTCTTTCTAAATCAATTCTTTTAATTACAATTTAATTTTATAAATACTAAAATAAAATTTCTTACCTTTTTCCTCCACACGACTCATACTTGCCCGTGCACTCGCAGTAGTCAACCTAATTTGATGAAATTGACTCCAACCTTTTAATCTATAAATCTTAGAAAAATACTTATATTTATTGGACTTCTTTTTTCTATTTTTTTTATTCTGTTCTGCAATGCATACCTCTAATCTGTATTACTATTTCCACCTCCTGTAGTGTGCAGATCTTATATGTTTATATTTAAGCGACCATGTTGAAGTTATCTGCTTGGTTGTTTGACGTAGTTCTTCATTACAGAATGATGGCATCTCGAGAAGATTGTCTTTCATGCACTAATAATGCCTCTTCTTGTGCTCTTTATTTGCAGTAATCAGACTGGGGAATCTTCAAGAAAGGTTTCATTCAAGTTATGTTGGTAATTTTTCTCGCAGCTTGCGTGATATTGATGGGTTCAATGATGTAGCATTACTCAAAGAACTTTATAGAAGTGATCCAGAAGGAGTTATTAGACTTTTTGAAAGTCAGCCTTCCTTACATTCGAACCCTTCAGCTCTTGCTGAGTATGTTAAAGCATTAGTCAAAGTCGATAGGCTGGATGAAAGTTCATTGCTCAAAACCTTGCAAAGAGGTATTTGCTACTGTCATGTTATTGGAAGATGGCAGTTACTTTAATTAATTGGACAATTAGAAAATTAACTAACGATTGAAAGGAGGGATTTAAAAGGAAGCTTTATCTAATATTGGACATCTAAATTAAAGGCTTTTAAAAAACAAGCTCAAGGTCAAAGGCTCCCTATCTTAGGTGCTTCAGGGCAATTTACATAGAGAATGATAATTATTTAGAAAGCATCAAATATTTCTTTATGGTTTACATAGCTCTTTTGAATATTTGTTTCTATCCCATTCTGTATCCTGAAGCATCTCTTCTATCTGTTCATTAATTTTAATATGGTAATAACCAATTATAAAATTTCTTTGGTTAGTTCTTTTCTTCCATTTTTTTGGAAAGATTGTAATGTTCCACATACCATTTATTCTTTATATAAAAAGTTGCTTTTTTTTTTTTTTGAGCTCAAAAGAATGATGATTAAAAAATGCTAAAATGTTTTCAACATAATGCTTTCTAGTTGTAAGAAATAAAATGAGCTGTTTGGAGTGATTCATCTTTTCATTTCCACTAAGCCATTTTGAATATAATCATGCTCTGAGGTTTGTCTAATGGTTGTTTCTTTTTCCATGCCTTTAAACTTAAGGTGTATAGACCCCTAATGGCTGTTAGAATAAGAATCATACGAATTGATTTAAATCTTCTGAATTTGTTTTCAGATGCATGCAATTTACAATTCCATTATTGAGTGAGAAATCTATAGATCATGAAGAAAGAACTTAAAGCCAATCAGTTCTAGACTACCTTTGACAATTCTCCCATTCACAATTAGTACGAAGTGTTTTTGTCTGTATATATTGTTAGTGCTTTTGCTTTCTTCTCTCGCTATGTTCTTTTGCTAGTTCTTAAATTTGAATTCCAATGTTTGGACAGTAATATATCATTTATGGATTATGGATACAGGTATAACTAATCCCTCAAGGCAAGAAGAGAGTTTTAGCACTATATCTGGTTTAAAGAATGTGGGCTTAGCAACCAAAGAAGGGGTACTCGGCACTGCAAATGCGCCCATTCACATGGTAACAGCAGAAACTGGTCATTTTAAAGAGCAGTTGTGGCGAACATTTCGGACGATTGCTCTTACATTTCTAGTCATATCTGGTGTTGGTGCACTGATTGAGGATAGGGGAATTGGCAAAGGTTTGTTATTATAGGGAATTCAACATTTGCTAATTGGTTACCTTATTTATTCTTAAAGTCTGTCTTCTTTTGATGCGGTGCAGGGCTCGGGCTACATGAAGAGGTGCAGCCAAGCATGGATTCCAGCACAAAATTCAATGATGTAAAGGGTGTTGATGAAGCTAAGGCTGAGCTAGAAGAAATTGTGCATTACCTTCGAGATCCAAAGGTTGAGCTATGTTTCCTGTTGGTTTGGCCAGATTTTTTTATTTTGTGCATATCATTACTTGTTGGGATTTCACTAGAGTTTTTAGCTCTCAAATGTTGAAGGAGCACGCAAAGTAATGTGAAGAAGCTGGTACTAAATTAAAGGGCTACTGATCTCGTGTCTTCATATTGTTTACCATTTGTTTGATCTTTTGCCTATTTCATACTGATTTTTGCCTATGTCCCACTCGCTTCTACCCACATGTTATGACCCTCCAGCTTCGAACCAACCCTTCCCACACCACGTGCATAAAGCAGAACAAAACCTTCATACATGTTTGTGCATCTATGAATGTTTTAGGTGCTGATAATTAAAGAGTTTTATACAAGCAACTTGCTTTTGTTGTCACCATCGACTTGGTAAAAGAAATGGAGGAGAAAAAAAATTCACAGCTTCATATGCCTTGCAGATCTATTTCTAAAGTTTATTCATGTTATATTTCTTGTTGAACTGAATATGTAATGTCTTATAATGTTTACTTTCTTTGAAGGAAAAAAAATAGCTAGGAAGCACGGACACTTTAAAATACCTGTTGTCTCTTCCTCGATAAGCGTTCGACAAATTATGCTTAACCTTTGACCCCTTTTCTCTTCATTTTTTTGCCCATGGATATTCTTTGAAGGCCCTTTGATGAAGCTTTCGGAGCCTTCTGCGAAGCTTGTGCAACCATTAGCCCACCTTGCTCTTTGATCTTATGTCTCCCCTTCGATAGGCTTTTGCAAAACTGTCACAGCCTTCAACAATTAGACTCCTTTCACTTCATTTTTCAATGCATACTTGAGCAAGGTGTGGAAGTTAAGATTTTAAATATTTGTCTCGATTTTCTTATTGATCAGTTGTGTATTTTCATGGAGGAAAAGTGAATTGATGATTTGATTGACTAATATATCTATATAGTGCACATACTAACATTCTTTCCCCTGAAATGAACAGAAGAGATAAAGACATTTACAATATTAATATTTTCATAAATATATTTTTTCATTATATTGATTTAATATTATGCTTTATAATACAGTTTTATGTTTATGATTTAAGGATTTTATTAGCATTTCCTTGGAAAAATATTTACTCATATTTTACTAAATATTTGAATAAATTGTTTGATGTAATCGACAACTGCTTCATTGATGGTATTATCTTTGGTATCTAAATTAAATGTAAAAGGATAGAATACCTACAAAATGATACTTCAACTTATCCTTATTCATGCTTGAAGTAATTAAAAAAAGTCATTTTCAAAAATCAGGATTAATAATGTAGTTATGTTATGTTGTCAAATGGGCTTTTGCTCCTAATCCCCCCCCCCCCCGCAGAAGAAAAAAGCTATACCTATGTCATGCCATGTTATGGATATGCTTCATAGTTTGTAATTTTCTTCATAGTGGTTTACAAACTGTGTATGGGCATGAGTAGTACCTTCCACATAGTTGCTTGATTATACTTTTACCTGTCTGACATTTTTTTTATTTCTGAATATCGTTTATGGGGATTGAACTTTATATGGTCTCCATTTTGCTTAACAGTTTTAGTTATATCAGCTTTTAAGTGTTTCTTTTTCTGATTATAACCCATCAATCGCACATAGAAACCTCAGGAACTCAAAAACGTTACTTTTGATGTTCTTATTTCTTTTTCTTCATATTTCCAGCGTTTCACTCGGTTAGGTGGTAAGCTTCCTAAAGGTGTCTTGCTTGTCGGCCCCCCTGGCACTGGAAAGACTATGCTTGCAAGAGCTATTGCAGGGGAAGCTGGAGTTCCCTTCTTCTCTTGCAGTGGCAGTGAGTTTGAGGAGATGTTTGTGGGCGTGGGAGCTAGGAGGGTCAGGGACCTTTTTGCTGCGGCGAAGAAAAGATCTCCCTGTATTATTTTTATTGATGAGATTGATGCAATAGGTGGGAGCCGTAACCCAAAGGATCAGCAGTACATGAAGATGACACTGAATCAGCTTCTAGTTGAATTGGACGGTTTTAAGCAGAATGAGGGTATTATTGTCATTGCAGCAACAAACTTTCCTGAATCATTGGACAAAGCACTGGTGAGACCTGGTCGCTTTGATCGAAATATTGTTGTTCCTAATCCAGATGTCGAAGGCCGAAGACAGATTCTTGAATCCCATATGTCCAAGGTAATATTGAGGTGGTGAAGCTGCATTCTTCTCATTTATGTCAGTATTTTATGTTTATATATATGTTGTAATGCATGGTTGTTGTGTTGTCATTTTTCATTCCAGTGTCATGTTCTTTTGCACTCATTTAGGTTTCATTTGGGACAGCTTTCTTATTGCTGCTTAAAGCAGCTTTCTAGTATTAAAATTTTAATTTTTAAACAAGAAAGATGTTTTAAAAAAACAATAAAAAAGCCATCCCAAATGAAACCTTATTCTGTCAGAAATCATGGTGCTGGAGAACCTTGAATGAGTTTTTTGAGTTTTTCCTCTGTACTCATTTTATTTTTCGCCGGGAAGGCACTTGATTCCATGCATTTGTCCCTCTTTCCATTGAGAAATCTTCAACTTGTAAAGCCACTTTCTTGTTTCTAACCACAGCGGAAAATGCTCTAAAACCTCCAGCATTTACTTCTCATGTTTGGAAAAGCTTGAATGTTGTAATACAACATTCTGCGATCAGGCAATTAGGAATTCAGTTCAATATTCTTATGGTTTTCAATTTGAATCGAAAGAATTGCAAAGCATGTGATCTTGACTTGTATTATCTTGTTGGTCATTTTTTTTTTGGTGGGTTTAGGTCCTGAAGGCAGATGATGTTGATTTATCGATCATTGCAAGAGGTACACCTGGTTTCTCAGGTGCTGACCTTGCAAATCTGATTAACATGGCTGCCCTAAAGGCTGCCATGGATGGAGCCAAAGCTGTTAGCATGGTGGACCTCGAGTATGCTAAAGACAAGATCATGATGGGTAGCGAACGCAAATCTGCCGTCGTCTCCGATGAGAGCAGGAAACTTACTGCATACCATGAGGGTGGTCATGCTCTAGTTGCTATCCACACTGATGGCGCCTTACCCGTTCACAAGGCCACAATTGTTCCCCGTGGGATGTCCCTTGGTATGGTTGCGCAACTACCTGAAAAGGATGAGACAAGCTTCTCTAGAAGGCAAATGCTGGCGAGGCTCGACGTCTGCATGGGCGGACGTGTTGCTGAAGAACTCATCTTTGGAGAGGGTGAAGTGACATCCGGCGCTTCCTCAGATCTGCAACAAGCGACCTCTTTAGCAAGAGCCATGGTCACACAGTATGGGATGAGCAAGGAGGTGGGATTTGTTGCCCACAACTATGATGATAATGGGAAAAACATAAGCACCGAGACAAGGCTTCTAATTGAGAAGGAGGTGAAGCAGTTTCTGGAGAGGGCATATAACAATGCAAAAACTATACTATCTGTTCATAACAAAGAGCTGCATGCCCTTGCCAATGCCCTCTTACAGCATGAAACTCTAACTGGAGCTCAGATTAAGAACTTGCTTGCCCAGGTCAGGTCCCAGCAACAGAAGCCACAGATGGTTACAGTTCAACAGCCATCAACACCAGCAGCACCTTCGCAACCATCCGCTGCGGCATCTGCGGCAGCTACTGCGGCTGCTGCCGCTGCCTCAGCTGCAGCCAAGGCCAAAGGAGTTGCACAGCCTGCAGTTGGATCTTAAAAAGCGAAGAAAATAAATAATGATCATCTACAGGTTCTTATATATTTCTTTTGATTCATGCTGTGGGTTTTCCAGCAGTGCTAAAGCTTTGAAGGAACATTAGAGGTGAGTTACATACCTGCCATTGGGATTCCATTAGTGTATTTACCAATACTTTCTTGTCTTCCATTAGTTAAAGTGCTGAAGGTATTAAAATTATTGTATGGCAATGATATTATAACTAGAAAAGTGGAAGTTTTTTAAGTGCTTACATATTTCAGTGTTTTAAGTCTTCCCTTTTCATGAATGGAGCCTATTAGATGCTTGAACTTGTTAAAGATCTGAATGGGTGGGTGGTGTTTCCTTTGCCATTATTTATTAGTTCACAGAGGGGCACTTCAAGCATGTAAATTAATTCTTAACCATATATTTTTTCCCACCCATCCTTTGCTTCAGTTGCATAATTTCTTCTTGCTTCATTAGGTAATTCCCTCAAGCTGATCATATTGTATGTTTATCATCAATAGAAACTGGCAAGGTATATAGCAGTCGGGTTGATTTGACCTAGATTCCTAAACACAATACTGTTGTAAGATTCGTAGGCTTTGTTTGACCTTCTTCATGCCTTAAAGCAATTTTTTAATGCAAAAATTAAAATTTTTGTATTAAAAAGTTGTTTTAAGAAGCAGTAAGAAAGCCAAGCCGTCTCAAATGATGCCTTTGGTGCTTGGGTGACTGATTTTGTTTGTCGGGGCAAATGATTCATGATAATGTGGGACCCATTATACTAGAGAGTATTAGATAAATGTAGTTTGTCCTTTCTTTTTTCTGTTGGGTCTATAATATTAGGTAAGAAACTTACAAATTAGTCTTCAATGTTATTTGGGGTTTTGATAATTTTGATTCTAATTTATTTTCTTCAATTTAGTCTCTCAGCTCATTGAAAGAACCCAGTTGAGGGAGGGTTCTGTTTGGATAAGTTGAGCAACCAAATTGGAGAACAAGATTTGAGTTCAAATGAACATAGAAATTGAACAGTTTAATGATCAATTTGATTATTTCCTTATTTTAACCTATATTATTTACAGAGCAATGTATGTTTTTTTTTTTCTTCTTTCTAAAACATTTTTACTTAAAAAAAAAAATTAAATTAAAAAATATTTACTAAAAAGGCTTTAGAAAATAGTAAGAAAGACGTTCTAAATAAAATCTTAGTTATTATTTAGTCCTTGATGTCGAGGTAATTATTGGCTCTTGCTTAGTGAAAGCCGTCCATTATTTTTCTACGTACAGCCAAAATGCCAGATAGATTAAAGTTTCATTTGGGACGGCTTTTTTATTGCTTTCTAAAACGGTATTTTAGTACAAAATTAAAAAAAATGTGTACTAAAACCACAATAAAAAAGCCGTCCCAAACAAAGCCTAAAACGCTCTTATCAACTTTATTCTTAAATAGACGCACAATGAGTTCTTCAATAACTACAAATATATATTTCTGTTCATAATACAATTTTGGTCATAGCCCAATTGATTGCGAACATATTAAGAAATGTTTTACCCCAATTCAAACATCTGGTCCAATCCGCATTTATTAAAGAACTTCTGATAGCATTGCCATTTCTTCCATTTGTGAGATACATTTGGTATCTTTGTTGGCTTTCATTGTTGCTTCTCATGTAAGGATTTATTTCTATATGGTTACTAAGATCGGATACTAAAGTTTTATTTGTGACAAATTTTGTTTATATACATAAATACATTTTTATACTAAAAATTTATATTAGTAAGCAAAAAAAAAAATCAAAATGGACTGCATTTCTAATAGTACTCCAATGCTTTACTTATTATGCTAGGTGCTTTTAGGTTGTTATAACATAAATACTACAGATTTAGAAAGTACAGTTGATTTTCTAAGTACATCAATGGTAAAAAGGATCCCTAGATTATGGCACAGGTACACAGAAGAAAATGTAAGAGTTATGGTTTTCTAGGCTTAGAAATTAGCCATCAGAAGCCTTCAACTTTCTTGGTCTTTTAGACTGGGGTGGTGATGGTGGCGCATCCATAAATCTTCCAGGAGCCTGAAGAAAGAACATATAGAAATATAAATAATTCTGCTACCTTGAAAGTCGAGATAGGACCAGGCAGCAGTACCTTGCGTTTCTGGTCCCTTTTGCCCATTCTTTCTCCTGAAATACACCATGAAAGCATTTAGCAAAAAGTGGCATACATGTTACACTTTTAAGAATACATGAAAACTTATTACCTCCAAACCCAACTGCTTCAGATACAAATGGCCGATCTGCATCTCCACGATATGAACGCTAGCACAATGCAGGTGTATATTAGTTACATAAATCAGAATTACATAAAATTTGATTAAGAGTATAAAGTTGCACTATTCAACCAAAAGCTTGATGAACAAGCATAAGATTCTCCCCCACTTTGTATTAACGTTTCACCAGTTAACAATAAGACTCTTTTCAGGCGAATGAGGGTAACCACAAAAGCAGACAAAGAATTTCAAGACTCTCAAGGATTAAAGCGGATATGGCATGGATAATTACTTCAACACCATCCAACTTTCCCCATTTGTGGGTTCACTTCAACATTATGCAGAACAAGCATTACCTTAGGAGTGCCAGGTGCCTCAGTGAAAGAAGTGTCACGAGTTGCAGAAGCTTCAGCCTCTTTATTCTGTAGCTGTAATATTAACCCAAAAAAAATGATAGGATTGAAACTGAAGAATCAGCTCGACAAAGGCAAACATCAACATCATAATTTTCTTGTTGTAACATTAAAATTACGGAAGAACTACCATTAACAAATCAATAACCAAGAGATAAATGATATTTTGATTCCTTTATCATTTCAAAAATTAGCACATACGTTTGGGCTGCATATTCATACCGAAACTAAATGAACTTCAATACATTCTACAAGTGATAATGCTGGAATATACCTGATTTGTCAATTGGAATTATATTGATCAATAGATTACTTTGCTCTAATCACAAACGGCATACATACTATATTTTGTATGTGATCCATTTAAGTACTCATTAAACTAAGCAGAATGCCAGAAAAAGAGCAAGACATGATAACAAGATTAGCAGATAAACTTATTCGGAAAAGGAAGATTATGATATTCAAACCTATACATTCTTCAGTTACATGTTCTTTTGACGAGGCAAGCAATGTTACTGTGACAACATTCTTTAGGGAATCAAACGAATGCAGAATAATATCCAATCAAAAGATAGCCTCCCCAAAATTCAATAAAATGCTCCCCAGTGCTATGATTACATTTGAAGGAGAATAATATGCAAATCATGCAGGTGCAAAATTACTTCCAAGTTGATTTAACAGCCAAAAGAGCGCCCGCATATCCCTTAATTAAAAAAAAATCTTAAATCATGCCAAGTGATTTTTAATAAAGCATACATGAATGTAATAGAAATGTATCTGTAGCATAGCATTGCACTGAACCAGATAGAAGGCCCAAGTGTGCAAAAGAAAGTAAGGCAATGCCTAAAGCATAGTTTTTCCATACGCAAAGAGGTGGGAAGAGAATATGAACAAAGGTGGGGAAATAGGGAGGTGAGAACGCAAATGTCAAGCAAAGAGAAAATTTAATATGAATTGGGGTTTCTCTAAGCAGGTTGAACAACACAACTGAGTCCTCTTAAATGCATAGAAGGTCGTAGCACATCCAGAGAGTTGGGGTGGGCAAAGGAGAATTGTATGATAAAATTCATTAAGATATCAAATCTTCACTCGAGCGGAGGACTATGTGGTTCTCTTAGCAAGTTGAACAACACCAGTAAGTCCTTTGAAGGTCGTCGCACATCCAAATCTTCCAATACCACCAAGCCTACAAACCCATCTGCCTTCCAAAATTTACCTCGGAACTTAGTCCGTTAAAACTCCCTCGCCGAATAAGAAAAGCGGCGGGGAGGCTGGGGCCGAATTTTCGGAGCCCACAAGATTCCATCAAATTCCCCCCTCCCCTGCGTGCCAAAAAAAACACGCATGACAGAATATCTGGATATCATATAAAACCCTGTTTTGTACTGGAAGCCTTATAAAAGCAAGAAACAATAAGACTTATAAACTTATTTGGGGCCAATCACAGTCACAATCATTAGCACAATGTAACACAGCTCAACTCAACAATGGATCCCATGGAATACTTCCAACCATCACAACAATACTTAAATAAATATACAAATTAATATTAGCATGCAAATAACTACATGCAGGACCTATATTCCATTGTTATATGTTTGTTGTTTTCTCATCATATATATAGATTTAGTCCTAACTCTTGGGGATGGGGGCATATTGAAACGGGTACATCAAAGCATGTTTAACTAAAAGCCATCAACACAAAATAAAAGGATTACAGAGCTAGCCATAAACAAGAAGATTTGAATGAAGGCATAGAAATTCTTTTTACAAGACCGAGATATGGCAAGGAAATACTCCTATATCAAAAGAAAAAAAAATGAAGGATTCATGAAATAATAAATAAAAAATGCTTTAAAGTAGAAACCTGCTTCTGTAGGTTGAATAGTGTAAGTATTTCTTTACGTAATTCAAGATGCTCTGCACATACTGCTTTAGTTGGAACTTTTGGTTTTATGTGTACCTGATAAAGGAGAAATAGAGAAATAGGGAAAAAGAATAAAAGCATGAAAAATAAATAATGCAAAATGCAATACATATTAATAATCTACCACATCAAGTACGAATATAAGAATTCTAAAATAAATCGAATAAAAAAAATCTGATGCAGCCTCGAGGAACATGTAATTTTATATGAGAAAAAACGTCAAGGGGATAATTAGTAGAAGCCTTAGAAATGGTTTAGAGAAACAAACCCCAAGATCTGACAAGGTTTGCTCAACCCTTTTGATGGTTCTAGGTCCAGCATTTGAACTAGCTGCTTGCACCATTTGGTCAAGTGCATGTGTTCTCAAGTATACACGAAGCTGAAAATTCATGTTTGAAAGTCATTTTAGATATATATAGCATGTCAATTTCAAATATTTTAAAAACAACTTGCATAAATACTGGAAAATCCTCATTCAAACATGATTTGAATCAAAACATTAAACATCTATCTAACATTTGAATCCATTAAGCCAAGTTTATACAATAAAAGTGAAAAATGAAAAAAAAGCAAAGAAAAATCTTACATAATTCCAGCCTAACCATGTTTTATATCAGCAAAATCTCATTAAATATAGGTAGATCCACAAGCAGCCATCAATTCTAGTTGATACCTACTACTAAGTTCTAAAATAGGTTATGTTGCTATGAATTACAAGCTTGGAACTTAAAATCATGTTACCTCGCTCAGACAGCATATGTTGAAAGGACTTTAAGAAATAAGTAGAGAGAGAGAGAGAGAGAGAGAGAGAGAAGCTCCAACTAGGTGGAAATTGACAGCATTTCCTTCCTGCTGGACTTTGTAGATGGGTTTAGGACTTTAGGGTAAATGAAGGGAACCTCTTAATCAAAACCAACTATCTTAATCTAAACTTCTAAAGTAGTAGCATGAAACAATGTTAAATCGGATGGTTCTCTACATTTGAAGTGGTGCATGTTATCTTTGATTAGTCATAGACTACTGGACATATTCCCTTATTATAATTTATAAATAAAGGGAACCTCTATTGAAAAACATGCAAGACTTCCCCTATAGGATAACCCAACTTACAATTTTGAGCTCCTTACCCAATTAAGTAGAAACATATAGTCTTTTCTTCCCACTGAATTTTGTCCAACAAAAATTTCAGATAATAATCAAGACCATAGATCTTAATATAAACTATTGGAATGAAAAAAGTTAATTAGAAAGGTTTTATATATTTGGAGAGTGGGGCATCTTAAATTAAGCATTCCCTAGATCACTGCTATCATCCCCCTATTATGAATAGTAGGATCTCTATTGAATTATACACAAGATTTCTACCTCTAAGGCTTACACAGTACCAAATCGAGGATTGGCCTTTCCCTAGCCAATGGCCTCACCTACCCAACCCAGTTCCCATCCCCAATCTCTTTATCCACTGCAAACCCCTCCCCCTGCAATCTCTTTCATGTTCACCCACCCTTGCTCCCTACGTGTTGTTACTTACCCACCCCATGGCGAGCTCACCACTCATTGTGCCCATTTGCGTGCGTGTTAAAGTCTTGTTTTCATTTGTAACAACTGCTTATGCACTCATTCCCTATTCGCCCACTCACAAAGTTGCCTTCAGTGCCAGTCAACTACAACTAAAGGGCCATGACCACTTCACGAGTCACAGTGTGTATGATCTGAGTTAGCTCTCGGATTCTCCTTCTTCCATATGATGTCCTGGTTTCTCACACATACCTCAATCAGTTAGAACCCCACACCATCAATTCCACCATAAAACTCAATAGGTACCAATTATGGGGTTGAGGGCTTCTTACTTCATTGTTGATTCTCACAATAAGCATCATAATATTGAAGTCTCTCCCCTGGCAGTATTGACGTTGTCAAGTTTTCCATGTGTTAGCATATGACTGTAATGTTCTTACGTAGCTACTCAATTTTATTAAACTTATATTGCGTCCATTGTCATCTATGAAATTCTCTCAAAAAGAAATGGGATTTTCTTTGCTCCACATAATATCAATAAAGTAATCTCTCGTGTATACATTCCCTATTTTAAGTTTTTGTTTTCCCTTTAGCAAAATGATATGCAAATGCAAGATTATTCGAACATACTGAGAGAGAAATTGAATGAATTACTTCAATACCACCTTCACTACAAATCCAACTATACGGTAAAAGTAGAATGAAGAATTCCTACACCACTATATTTATCTTAGCCCCACATCCTTCTCTATAATGTGTGCAGTCTCAATTGATTCTACCATTATGACTGCTCTCTTACGGGTTCAATGTATCACAGAGCTTTATACTCCCAACCCCTTAATCCTGACCAGTTAGTATTGGGCATTGGTTCGAATGGAGGTGGTGGGAGTAGCGAAAACGGAGTTCAAACTAGAGATGGGCACGGTCGTGGACATACTTGTATACATCGTGATTAAAATACCTTTTCAGCATATTCTCACTACAATCACACTAATCATCCTCCTAAAAGTTGCTAGGAGAAATTCAAATATATCAGCTTAGCATACTTGCATAACCAGCCAAAAGCTTTCCCATTCTATTGGTTAGTCCTCTGTATCCAAAAGCCTCTCTAAATAAGAATGATCGACTGCTTCAATAATCTCAATCATAAATCTCAACATCTTGGGTGGTTTATTCCTCAAGATCTACTGTGCAACTGTCTCTACGTATGATTTTAAATTTACGCGCATCTTCCGAAATGACAGGCACCTTCATAGGATGTCTTTACCACATGTTCCTTTTCCTCCATAAACTCCTATATCACCTCTAACCATCAAAGGTCTACTCTAGACCTCCTCAACCTCGCACCACAACAAAATCTACACCCACAAAACCAAATTCAATTAAGAATCTACTTGTTGATGAGCTTTCTAATCAACAATTACCAATATTTCTATGGAAAGGTAAAGACATTGTACTACTCATGTCATTTATTCTTATATATTATTTGATCATTTATTTTCTTCCTTATGCCCATTACATTCTCTCTACTATGTGTCTCTGTTCTCAGGACATATCATGAAGTACTATAAAAGCCTTATAGAATCAAGCTATGGAGGTTAATCCCCCTTTTGGGTTTAAACTAGCTACCTCACATTGGTTGTGGGTGTTCACTGCCAAATTTCATCATGATGGTTCAATTAATCATTACAAAGCTCAATTGGCTACAAAAGGATTTACATAAGTCTACAAGATAGATCATTGAGACACCTCCCTAATTCCAAACATATCTTCATCTGAATTCTCTTATTTGTAGCTATCAATCAAGTACGTACAATTCTATCAGTTATACGAACAAGGACATGAGAAAAAGACATGACAAGATACGGATATGATAACACAAAATAATCAGAGAAAAGGGCACGTCCTGGGCATATTATCTTATTTTATAAATTCTTATATAAAATACATAATTAATGCATCAGATACTAATAAGTTATGTTAAAAACATCACACAATAAAGTGCAATACCACATACTTCTTAAAAAAAAAGTTACACCAATAGGAATGAGCAAGACAATCACTACACAAACAAGATCTATAAAACTTAAAAATACATGTAAGGGTACAAAGGTAAGATAAAAATAACCCCCAAGTTAACGATTAAAAATATTTTTATAAATTTTATATATTTTTTGATTAATTGGATGTGTGTGTGTGTGTGTGTGTGTGCGCTATTTAAATTAAGTTACCTATACAGCTATTGTACTGTTCACCATATTGCCTTTTCAACTAAATGAAATATGCAATTGATGATAGATTATGTTGGTTGTGATTGACTCGTAATATTATATTAAGTTTATACATAACTATTACTTATATGCATTCAACAATCACCACATTAACTTCAACCCATCTCCATAAACACATCAGTAGAGAAAATAGCCATGACCAACTTGATTGATTGGGGAAATTATGTGCCAAGACCTTGGTTTTGAGAAGAAAAATTGAATTTTTATCTGTAATTTTATTCAACGAATTTATCTTGATTGAGGTTGGTGGGCCTTAGCATTTTATAAGTAGTCATTTTAAGGTAAAAAAGTACTTCAATGTTATTTAATTTAGATTTCGAAGTGAGAGAATTTATTGTAATTTGAGTACAGTCATGTTTTCTTAGCTAATGGTTTTACTTGATAATTATGAAAAGGCTTTTGTGTTTTGTGACAATCTAAACGACCAGGTTTTTAACCCAGTCGGTCCTGCTTGATAAGAGTCAGGATGAGTGTTGAAAAAATATGTGTTTGATTGGATTGACGACTCTATCATATCTTGTTTTTGATTGATAGAGGTCAAATGGGGCGTGACAAGACTACTGAATCTAAAATAGCAAATGTCCATTATGTCTCAAGTGCGATACCCCCTGTGTTGGGTCATTTTCTAGCCTTATTTGGGCATGAAATAAATGAAATAATTTGAAGCATGTCAGATATATGTCAGTAGCATGTCTATGCTCGAAACATGTCAGACATACAAAAAATAATTTTTTTTGTTTTTGTGCATAATATGCTGCAAATGGATGTGAATAATGACTTCCTTTATGGCAATCTAAATGAGGTAGTTTATAAGGCATTGCCTCTTAGGTTTGTTTTATGGGGAGAATTGCATGTCTGCTTAAGAAGGCTATCCATGAGCTTTCAAAATGTGATGCAGACAACTAGATAGAAAAATCAAAAGGGAGAACACAAGGGCTAGTAGAACTTTTCTCGATTCAAAATTTACCAACACCAAACAAACCTCCAGACAAACGAAAGTTAGACAAAACGAAAACTAAATTAAAAATAAAACAAGCTACCCTCAGAACAACTGACTAGCGATCACCTCACATGCAACGAAATAGTAGGTAAAATAAAAGAAGTGCTTAAGAACATGCAAACCGAAGGTCCACCACAGCTACTTGGGCCAACGTCCACCACAAAAACTCATCCGGCAAATGCTACCAAATCGGCCAACCAACACCTCCAATAGCTTGAGACGAAAGATACAAGTGGAGTGAAAACTTGTGGAGAGAAGAAGTAGATAAGAAGTCCAAGACAAAATTGAATAGAGGAGAAGAGAAATGGAACAAGCTCGCAAGCTTTCTCAAGAAAAAACCCTCAGGTTTTTAGAGAACTTTGCTCAACCAACAACAACCTCCAAATGCCTCAAAACATCACATATATATAGGTGAAAAGAGGAAGCCAAACAACCCCAATCACCACCAGCCGAACCGGAAACAAAAGGCCAACATGCGGCTCCATAAGCAACACCCAAAGGGACCACGCGGGGGACAGGAACGGACAATCACGGGAAAAGGAACAGCCGGCCATGGGACAAGAGCTAAGCAGAGAAACCGAAGGCGAAACAGAGGGTGGAAGAACCATGATAACCAAATAATGAGCTGAAAAGGCATTCCACTAAACATAATGAGCTGAATTTAGAAGAAGAACACAGCAGCTCACCAAAAGGGGCAGCTAAACCCGAGACAACCAAGCCTAAACCGAGAAACCCAAATCAGCCCAAGAGCCAAGGCGCCAAAGAGGCTAGCACACCCAAAGCAAGACATGTGCAAAGCACCACCTACTCATGATCATAGGTTGCCTTCCATCATAAGGTAGCATAAAAAACAAAAAATAAATTTAGCATTCATATTACAATAAAACTAAAAAATTGAAATTTGCATGCATCAAAATGTCCATGTGAGAATGTTCTACAAAATCCATGTCAATATTTGTCTCCATAATAGCACCACAAATCATTTTATCTCTGCTCAACAAACACGTTCAGGATCCATCATATCATAGTTACTTATGTTAATGATATCATACTCATCGAAAGTGATCATAAAGGTATCTTTAAGGTAAGCATTATATGCAAAAGTGTTTTGCCCCAAAAAACTACGACAAACCAAATAATTGTTTTGGAGTTGAATTTGCTTACAGCAAAAATAGTGTATCACTCTCACAGGAAAATATTATGTTAATCTTCTTATTTAAGTGATTCCTTAATGATTTATCTCAATATCAATGGCTAGCAAAAAAATAATTTTGTTTATTTGATAAACTTAACATTTCATTCAGCATTGAAATTGTTAAGTAGCACATACAAACTCCAAACATAAACATTGTGACAGTTTTGTGAATTCTCAGATATAGCAAGCAATCTCAAGGATAAAGATTATTCTATAAATGTGTATCACTCTATATATAGAGGGATATATATATATATATATATTGACAAGAGTGATAGAGTGAAACTATGTTTAATAAGAGGGTTCTATATATTTGAATAGTGGGCATTTAAATTGAATAATACACAAAAAAAAAATCTCCTCTAACTATTAAAACTGCATGCTCAGAATTAAATTCATTCCTTCATATGATGATTTTGTCTGGAACCAAGCATATAAAAAAAATGAAAGTTTAATAAATGATAATTCCAAAATAATGATTAGAAAGTGCTTTTAAAAGATCCAAGCTAATGATTCTACTCTAAATTTTTAAAGTTGAGACAGCAAAAGAGAGAAACTGATGGTCGCAGAACAACACCATCTAATTCCATCTAATTCATTCTTTAGTAGTAATTGTGAATGTTGGCAACCTACATCTGAGCAATCCTGAAACTTAATAGTCACATGGTTTGCATTTTGGGAGATTTAGAAACATGTACCTTAAACAATGTCAGTACATAATGCAGTCGCCAGACATCAAGAATCTAATAGTAAAGTTGCATTGGTATTACTAAATCATATACAATAAGAAAGCATAAATGATTGGAACTAGCGTGAAACCAATAAGTATAATTCCAATACATTTCAAGATAATTTTAACTTTTTATTAACGTGAAGCATTTGATGAACATTTTGAGGAATGAAAATGCATATCCACGTAGCACAAATGTACGTCAACAAAGAGCAAAAAAACATAGGAACATCAACTGCTCCTAAAATTAAAAGTTAAAATTCAGTTAAAATACATAGAAAGAAAGGGATACCATGCGTAGTGAAGCTGGAGTTGAAGCATTCTCGGTTATTGCTGCCGAAGGTACAGCAGTAGATGATGGATGCATGTTAGAGGATGGTGATGGAGATTCAACATGGGTACCTTTCTCTATTATTTCAATATCAGTGTGGTCATCCGGCAGATCAACATTTTCAACACCCTGAAACAGAGTATGATCTAAGAACATGAAGAGCACAATTGTTTCATTCAACTAAACTAGAGAGAGGGCTCTATATTGATATTACATCTCACTGAATTTCAATACAAGTTCACATAAATCCTGTGAAACAAAAGATAAAGCTTAAAATGGAATATTGATAGATAAACATTTAATTCACCCTTTCAACAAAATGTCAACTAGTTCAAATCAATGTTAGTCAAATTTTATTTTATACTACAGGCAATAAGACAAAGCAAAGAGATAAGAAATTTAAGGATTTAATTCAAGTGAAGAGCATTAAAGATGAAGATTAACAAGTGTTTTTCTTAGAAGTGGATATTCAAAATAGGTGGATGAGATGTTTCGACTAATTTTTGACTAAAGGTTGTGAGAATAAGAATGTCTTTAGTGACCTTAACACCTTACATAAAAATAAAGATTTTTATTTCTATCGTTGGATTAGTAAAACTGAAATTGAAGAATCTTTAAAGAAAATAAAGTGTGAAAAAGTAGTAGGATCTAATGATGTTCAAATAGAAGTGTAGAAATTCCTAGGAGATCAAAAAGCTTCTTGGCTTACTGAACTCTTTAATATTATTTATAATACTAAAAAGATATCTGATAAGTGAAGAAAGACTGTGTTGATTCCTATTTTTTAAGAATAAAGGTGATGTTATGTGTGAATTATAAAGGATTTAAATTAATGTGTCATACATTAAAATTATGTAAAAGAGTAATTGAGCATAGGTTACGACTTGATACTAATGTTTCTCAAAATCAATATGAATTCATGTTGGGTAGATCTACCACTAAAGTTATATATTTGTTTGAAGGTTTGATGGAGATGTACACATAGAGTAAGAAGGATCTATATATGATATTTATTGATTTGGAGAAAACATGATAAAATTCTAAAAGAAGTGCTCTGAAGAGTTCTAGGAAAAAAAAGTTAATAATTCTTATATTCAAATCATTAAGGATATGTATTTAGAAGTTGTTACTAATGTTCAGACATAAGGTGGCTTGACCAAGTATTTTTCTATTTCATTTGGATTACATCAAGGAACAGCATTAAGCTCTCTCTCTTGCATTAGCCATGGATGTTATTACTAGACATTTGCAAAAAAATGTACCTTTGAGTAAGCTTTTTGTTGATGATATTCTTCTTGTTGATAAGACTACAAAGGAAGTTGATAACAACTTGAATTATGGAGGTCAACCTTTAAGTCTAAAGGATTTCATTTAAGTAAATTTAAAACTAAATACATTTAGTCTAATTTTAGTAATACAAGATCTAGAGATGGGATTATGATATTGAGTGATCAAATCATTAAAAAGAGCGCACATTTTAGATACCTTGAGTCCATCATTAAAAGCGATGATGAAATAGATGGGGCTATTATTAGTAGAATTCAAGTTGGATAGTTTAAGTGGAGGAATACATCGAGCCTACTGTGTGATAGAAAAGTACCCCTCAAACTTAAGAGAGAAATTTTATAAGAAGGTGGTGAGACTTGCAATGCTTTATGGTGCAGAATGTTGACCATTAAAAGAGAAGAATAAAACTAAGATAAGAATTGCAGAGATGTAGTTGCTCAAATGGATGATTGGCTTTTCTCTTAGAGCCTGAATGTAAAACGAATATATACATGAAAAGGTTGGAGTTGCTCCAATGGCACATAAGATTACAGAGTCATTTTAGATGGTTTGATCACATAAAACGGCGGCCTTCCGATAATCCTATAAGGAGTGCATTAGATCTGGCCTATGTTAAGAAAAATAGAGGTAGACCGAAAAAGACTTCGTTAGAAAGTAATAAAAATGACCTTTTTTTATTCTATTTAAATGTGAATTTGACTATTTATAGGATGCAATGAAAAAAAAAAAAGATTCATTTAAAACACAATGGGATAAAGGCTTGTTATTATTGTTATTGTTGTAGGATGACATTGTATGCCAAATGAGAATAGTGCAAATTAAGCATAAAAATAGATAATTGGGATTAAACTTTATGGAGCTTATAAAAATAGACATTTTCCACAAGGATGATCAACTATTATATTCTCAGTTTGAATTTCAAGCATTATAATAAAGTCAATTTTACTTTCTGCGGTCACATTTATCCTATCATTAATTTTGCAAGATAAAACAAAATAAATTTCACAAGATTAAAGAATATAAGGGGTATACTTTCTAAATGAGCAATAAAATGCAAGGCTTCTAGAATATTGAAAAGAAAAAACATGAAACTTAAGAAACGTACTTTACTAGCAATGCGCGACTCCATTATGCGTTTAGCTTCAGAAAGGATCTAAAACAAAAAAAAAACAAAAGTTACTACACCTTTTAATATGAGTAAAACCAAAAGTAAACAAATGATGGAATGTCATTTAACATAGACAATATGAATCCGATTGAAAAAATAACATTTCTAATCATTTAATTAAATGCATCACCCAAAACTAATATGCATGAGCGTATGGTGAGAAAAGGTTGGCACCTCAGTATCCTTAATCTCTTGCTGTTTTGTTCGAGATAAAACTGCAGACAGTGCACGCTTCCTTTCCATCTCATATGCCATATCATAAGGTTCCTGCAATGAAAAGGGGGGCAAAAATAAATGGGATTATGATAGAACAAATGGTAAGCCCCGTGGCTTAATTGAGGCACTAAATTACTTCAAATCATTGACGCACCTTCACAAGGGGGTGTCCAGCAACATCAGCAACGGATGGTGCTCTAGCAATCAAAAGTGCTCGAGATACTGAATGCATGGGAAACAAGATTATTACCACTTACTGCACAAATATTTAGCACCATAGGTGACAAAATTATTAGATATAATACTAGGCTCAATAGAAGACCCTCTATAGTCATAAAACCACAGAAAATTCCTTGAAAAAGGGACTACTAAAGTAATTGTCCAAATGCCAGCCTCCTCTTAACTTCTGTCATAAACTAAAGGGTCTAAAAATCGATAAATATTTATACTCCAACTATGTTAGGTTTTATAGAACTTGCAATATTCTTAAACAAAGAAAATATATTTTAGCAAGCTGAAGGGTTTGCCTGTTTCTTATATTGGACGAAATATTTTACAATAAAAGTGTACCTTGCCTTTTGAATTTCAATGTTTTAAAAAGCTCATTTTGAGTGTGAAACAGAAATCATCACATTCAAGATGTTTTGAAGGCGTTTGTAAAATTCAAAACAAATGTTGATTTCGAGCTACTGATGAAACTTACTAAATTCACCTTTTTCAAAAAAAAAAAATCAAACTTAACAACCAAATGGGCCCTAAAACGAAAATTCTGTATTAGACTTTGCAACAGGAGTTGGCCATAAAATAAAAGATGGAAATGGCAGTGATAAACACATAAGGGTTGTGGTTAAGATGAGAAAATCTTACATTCAAAAACACCTCACAATGAATTAAACAATTTTTTCTCAAAGAATGTAAAATACTTGGATACAAATCAAATAGGCCTTCCATTATTGATTCCCGAGGATTAACTCGTAAGGTTGTATGCAGCAAGGACACTTAATGAGACATTGCAAATCTAATTTTGTGTCAAGTCCACGCTATAAAAAAAAGATGGTGAAAATATAAGAAATATTGTGATAAAAAAGTAACCCCTACCTATTTTACTAAAAAGGAAACGTCAGGAACCTTAAAACATGGAAAATACTTGGCAAACAACGCACTCCCTAACTTATTTTTCCAGCATATAAGTATACGAATTTCCAAGCTCAATTAAAGCATACATGCATATGAAGCAAGAAACCTCATAGCATATAAAATAAATCAAGTTTACATTATATTTAGCACAACTCATGTGTATCTAGTCTCTATCGCATAAATAATTACATAGGACAACATTTGAAGAGGTCTACTCACAAAGTTTAATTACTGGTAAAAGAGAGAACCACGATTGATGTAGACAATTCAATTGCACATACCCATATACATGCATGTGCTTCGTCTTTATCCTCTACAAAAGAGAAGTATCCCGATACTAGGTAAATTATTGCACAATAATGACAATATGATGAACATCTTAGTCTTTATCCTCTTCAAAGGCATCACCTCTCACACAATGAGTTTTACACACTTGTTTGTCAATTTATTTATTGGTTTGTTTTATGCATTTCTATAATTAAAAACATGTCAATGATGACCACTGAGAAAATATGCAATTTTATTTCTTGAATTCATTTAGTTTATGTGGTTGGCATGGTATCAATTGTTGGTTCAATTGGGTTAATTTCCAGGAAAGATATTTTGATTGGAAGATAAACAACAATTGTTGGATTTAAAGTTCTAAAAAGAAGATATTTTGATGAAGTTGTTGAGTTCTAGTAGTGTTGATTTGGATTTATCCTCATGATAGGTTAAGGACATTAAATGTGAACTCCCGTCTTTGTGCCACTGTTACGTTTGGACCGGTCCCAGCTGGACCGGTCCAGTTCTACACCCGGCGGCCCAAAGCCGGGCGGAACCACACCGCAGAAATGGCGGAAGAAGGAGCGGGCCCAAGCAAGCTTTGAGCGTTTCGTTGGAGGGAATTTTTGAATGAGGAGGGTGTTTAGGTAATTTGTATCTTTCATTTTGCTTTAATTATGGAGTAATGAGGGAATCAGAGGGGATCTAGAATTTGAATGAGATTTGAGATCTAGGGTTGGCTTGTGTTGGGCTCTAGGCATTGCCGGAGATTAGGAGAGTAATTTTTTCCTCTCGAATTGAAGGAAATTGTATATTTGCTTGTTGTCTTGCATCTTCTATTGGAATACAAGAGATTTGCTTCGTTTTCTCTCAGATTTATAGTGAATTCCCCCTGTTTTTCTCTGTTTTGTGGCTGTTTCCTGCTGTGGACAGCAATAATATTGCTGTGGTTTACTTATTTGGGCTAGGATTACTTGTGAATACAAGTATTTCCTATCAGCCACTTGGCATTTTGTTGGATGAGTATCAAACTGTTTGGCACATATTTACTAAAAGGAACAACATAAGCATGGTTTCTCTTGCAAGTTATCTCATGTGAATAAGCATGTCCTTAGTTGCTACATATGGATAAGAATTTTTTTCGGGAAATTTTAAGTTGGGGCTAGAATTAATTTAGAATTAAATATAAATTTAAATTGAATGGATCATATGCCAAACAATATCTACTAGCTTAGGTTATGAAGATTTTATGAATAATTGTTTTGGCCATTTAATTGCGTACTTTTAACTTGAATAAAATATTCATTTTCAGTTTCAATCTTTGTGAGTGCAAGTAGGATATGTAACTCCTTAGAGGGTGGTACAAATGCATCTATCTTAATCCCAGAGTATGTCATCACCTTGTATCAGCATGAGACCTAATTTTTATTACTTCAATAATTTTATTCCTTGTTCTATTTCAACTATTATTTTCAATACTTATTTATTGCTATAAATTTTGATAGTAAAGTGACAAGTCAAAATCCAAATTAATTCAATTTACTAGTTGATTTCATGATTATAAATTATCGCTAAATTTCTTGAATTATTTCAATCATTTCATTAACTGTTTGTATTAAACTCTAACATTACCTATTTACGACTAATAAAAATAATTTATTATATTAATTGGTAACTTGCGATCTATGAATCCTCGTTTTTCTTTAAATGGGATCAAACAAAGCAGCATATTAATTGCATTACGAAATCCTAATCATGAGTCATCCTGCCAAAGTTTGGTATAAGAGCATTTAGCTTCTATCATAATGTCACCTAGCAATGGGGCAATTTAATAAATTGTAATAGGGGTGGAATTTTAACAACATTGCAAAATCAATTGATTAAAATGTCAAAAAAATAAAATCAATTTGTGATTGCATTAATTTGGTTAAACAAAATTTGATAATTTGGAAGTTAGTGGATTCCCATCATAAAGATGAATCAATTTATTTAAATGGCAATTATGATACAAGGCAATAAAATTATCTTGATAGATAATTAGCGATCTTTAACAATGGTGCTTACTGGAAGACCTAAGTCAAAATTTGATGTACAAAATGACAACCTAAAATTAAAGTTGAAATGTTTACCTAAAAGTTTGTGATGATTAATTACTAGATGTAGATAATTTCTTTGAATTAAAAATCATATTTGATGAATGACAAATATGATTTGCAAAAAACAATTAATTGGCCAAGCAAAAATTTATCATATGAGCATGGAAAAAGGGAAAGGTTAGAAATGTAACCAAATACCACAGGGGGGGGGGGCGCGTCAAAAAAAGCTTTAAAAGAAAAAATGTTTGCATTTATCAGAATGGGATTGTTTGCTTGATGAATTTAATTCAATAAAGAAATGAACAAAAATTTTAACAGAACACAAGAACAAGTTTAAAGAATTGCTATTGAATTAATAGATCATTGAATATCTTAAAATCACACTCTACTTTTAGGAAAGATTTGAGAACTCATACCAAGAGAGATATGACATTACCACATTCCATCACTTGTACATGTTGTTCAAATTGCATTAGACATAGAACAAATGCTAAAATTTCAATTGCCAAAAAGATTTTTATGTATTCCAGTAGTGCTCATCAAAGCAATCAAGTTTAATCTCTTATGCCTACTGTGTCCAAGCTAAGTAACATTACATATAATCTAGATACTAAAAGGGAATCAATTATGTAAGCATATCAGGCAAAAGATTTTTGCAAAGTTAACAGAAAATAAAACTAATAATTCTAAATTCTAATGATGTTCGTGAGATTAATGAAAAAATTAGTGAGTCTAAGGATGGTTTAGTTGATCATTCTTTGAATATCATGTATTATATCATATTACTCCTAATGTTAAATTTGATTGTAAGAGAATTGCAATTTTTCAAAATTATTACAAACATGGGGATAAACTTTGTAAGCTTATAATTGATAGTGGAAACTTATGAATGTAGTGTTTAAATTTACCTTAAATAACATGAAATCAAATATAAACCACAAACAATCATATAAGATAACTTGAGTGGATAAATTGCTACTTATATGTCTCAAAGATGTCTACTTTTGATTTAACTGGATATCTATGTGGAACAAAACTAGTGCAATGTACTACCCATGGATGTTGCTCAAGTTATTTTTGATAACCTTGGCTATATGATTCAGATATTATTCTTTTTAAAAGATCTAATACATATAGTTTCAAGACTTCAGAGAGAACGATTGTCTTGAAATTTATAAAATCTAAGAGTAAATCTGAATTAGCATAAGAATCTAGTGCTCCAAATGAAATGAAAAAAACCTTTTGAATATTCAAAGTAAAAATGCATTTGCAAAAGAGAATAGATAGGAGGGTGTGATATATGGTTTAATAGTTGTTGAGCTAAATAATATAATGCCTAAGGTTGTGAATTAGCCCAATTATGTTATACAAGTGATGATGGATTTAAAGATATTATTCCTAATGAACTCTTGAATGAATTGGCATAAGTGAGGGATATGCAACATATTATTAATATATTTTACGGGTTAGCATTGCATAATTTTCCTAATTCTATAATGAATCTTATGGAAAATGTTGAATTGAAAATATAAAAAATGGGCCATTCAAGAAAGGATTTATTAAAGAAAGCATAAGTCTTTGTGTTGTACCTGCTTTGTTTACCCCCTAAGAAAGATGAAAGCTGGATTATGTGTATAAATAGTAGGCCATCAATAAAATCACCATCAAATATGAATTTCCTAAATCTTATTTGGATGCCATGCCAAATATGATTAATGATGTTGTGAATTTTCTAAAATTAATTTGGGATGGTCATGACTCAATTTATTGGTTCATCGACCTGGCACGATTAAGCTTGCCTAAAACAGTATACTCATAAATATGAAATTAGAAAAGGAATACCTAAGAAACTAATTGTCACATTTTCTTCAACAAACTCCCTCCTCACACAATCACCGCCATAATTGTCGTAGCTTCCTCCTCCATCTAACAACCTAAAATGTCTCTTTCATCGTCGATATCTCCATTGTCTATGTCTTCACCATAATGAATGATGTCACCATTATGACAACCTTCCATGAGACCAACCATTGAAGCCTTCATAATTTTTTGCTCCTTCGCCATTGTCGGTACTCGACGCCATGAGGTAATCTCCTTAGCTCCTCCTACATCATTTTTAACCATAAACTCCCCAAATAATCACGAGTTGGAATGGTTATCCTACAAGTATAGAGCTTACTCACCACCATCGTAGAGCTCTAAGAGCTACTTGTCGAGCTCATCATGCTTAGGAGAAATTGGCCTAGTCAAGCTTGAGTCCAATGTAGTCAAGCTCGAATAGACGCGCTAATTGGGCTAGATGCAATAAAAGTGTATTGGCCTCAACAAGGTGTTCAAGCCTAGTTTATATAAACCTCAACACGCTATTTGGGTTGGATGCAACCTTAACATCAATGCATGGGTTGCATAAAATCCAAGCTTGAATGTCCAAGTTTCATGTAATTGAGATAGATATTCTTGCATTGGTTTGAAGTAAGGCATGCATGCCTTCACCATAACTTAGTTGTGATCAAAGTAGATCCAAAGATAAATCAAGGACTACGCAAATTTGTTGAGAAATACATGCAAGTCAATTTAGGCAAGGAGCAACCAAAGCACCACACTAGTTGTAAACCAAACCAGAGCATGAATAAAAAATATTGGGAAAATCAAGGTAGCGTTATCACAAGTAAGGCATCAAAGCATTATTTGTACAAACAAGAGACAGTTTGTTTGGCCAAGATTTTTTTTTTTTCTTATTTGGCCAAGATTTGATTGATCATTTGAGATTGGTTACTCAACCAGGAAATTAGTTAACCGAAAAATTGACTATCCTACAAGGAACCACTAATGGTGAGAATGATAATGGCATAGCAAGGCCCATTGTTGATCAAACAATGTCAAACATGAGCTAAATAATAAAACATTATAGGTCAAACATAAACAATATGGTGAACCAAGTTAGTTATTGAGCAAAAATGATGCATGCAATACACCGAAAAATAATACAACTCATAATGAAACTTTTTATAGAAGGAATACAGATGCAACCACAATGGTGGAGAAAGAACAGAGCTTTTAGGGCTCCAATTCGAAGGGTGATTCAATAGGTCGAGCAAAGTGAGAATAGTGACACAAGTGATTAGTAGTGATATTCCTGAATCAGGTTAGATGGAGTGCATGTTGGGTACAAGGAATAAGAATCAAGATAAATTATATAATAGCTCTTAATTTAAGGAGGCCTAGGTGTCCTTGTTAGCAAGAATAAAAAACCTATGGGACTTCCATGCATACAAAGGAAATTATTAACCTTCTTCATAAAGTTGGAAAGCATATTCTGATCTTAGCATTTTTCTAAAGTAAATAGTATTTAAAAATGAACCATTAAGGAAGCATGAAACTTTGAGTATAGATTTGAACGTCGCCACAAAATCAAACTAAAGAAATTATAATAGAATGGGATTTCACAAACTTCCTTTAATTTGAGGGCAGGGTCTCGTTTCTCTCAATGCTAAAAGGCAAACAAATTTTCAAGAAGCCTAGGTATGCAAAGAGGAATCAAGAAAAGGAATATGATGCCACATATGTTAAAAGTGGCTGTTCCAAAGCTTCTATTAATAAAATTGTACGGACATGAGGAAGCTTAAAGTGAAACGTTGGCCCAAAAGTAGACACCTTTAGCGAAACTTTACTGGTCAAAGTAATCAAATACCAAAATGAGAAAAAACAACTTAATAAAGAGTGACACTTCATGCACCTAAAGCAAAGCAAAATATCAAAGATTAAATATCAGAAGATACTCAAATCCGACAATGTAATACATAAAACTCAAAAAATGACTAATGTATGGACAGTAGATTTTAAATGAATACAACTGGATCCAAAGAACCATATAACTTGCATGATACTTGATGACTTGAAAAATAAACGCCTTAATCATTTCAAAGAAATGCATCAAATCCAATCCTTGAGCATAGAATATTCAGCAAAGATCTTTAATCAGAAGTACCAGAGTAGTAGCGACTCTTAAGTTCCTCCACAGTTCGAGAAGTAGGGAATCTATCAGCTATTACTATAAAGCGAAGATCAAACCGTTCACACATGTCAAACAAATGATCAGTTTCCTCCTTAGTCCACATCTGAGAAAAAGGTAAATAAACGTTAGATCACAACAAAAACAAATGGGCTACAAATCTTCCAGAATATCATAAATCAGTTACAGAAGGATAAGAGAAGAGAATACTGCCAACAAATACTGAAAACTTATTCATGTACTCTTACAGTCTTACTGTATTTTCTTTAACACAAATATAATAATAAAAAACAGCACCAACAGAAGCCAACACAACCATGGTTTATATATGGATGAGAATCTGCTAGCTACCAAGCACTTATACATCTACATAATTTATGAGTGGCATCAAAAACTATCTTTAATTTCTCACAAATGCATTTAGTTACAAAAACTGAGAAGATAATTTCATTAAGTTTGCTTTTAGTATCAACACAGTAGCAAGACTTCCAAATTTGAAGTTGAAAATCATCTACTTCGGTCAGTAAATATGAAGGCCGAGTAATTGGCTTACATTAAATGATTTGATAGATTATGGATATAAATAAATACAAGTATACAGCCAAACATTTTGCTCTTGATACTTTTCACATTACAACCCCAACTTTGATGGGAGCCTCCAGTGCAAAATTTGAACCTAAGAATATTTAGAATTGAATTCATCACAATCACTTTTAAGCATATACAGACTATAGGATGCCAACTCTGCCCATCATACAATCATAAACCAACATTCTATAATAATATGACTAGAATCGGCACTATAGGTAACAAATTTATAACAAAATACATTATATCACAACCAACTCTAATTAGACCGGAAATCAAGCTACCTCATTCCTTTCATCTAACTACAAACCAGCTCAGATAAAGAACAGTTAGTATGAAATCAACAAATCATAAAGTAGACCCAAATTTTTTATGGCCAAGCCTTAGCAGCAACCAAAAAGGGTATCAATGAGCAATATCATGATAATAACATTATTTCTAAATAAAGTTTTAGGAGAGCATATATCAAAGTTCATTTAAAGGATTGCAGAAATTCCCATGTTCTCAAAGCCAATTCTCATTTAAAGATGATAGGCATTTAGCTTTCCTAGTATAGAATTTTCAACATTAGAAGTGAGCTTAAATACACCAAACAAGAACAGTGATATATTTCATTATCATAACTCCAAAGCATTCACATTCAATTGCTTAACAGCAGGAAGTAAACTACCGAATTGAGACTAGAACTAAATTTTTACTAAAGTTTCCATTTTATTTGCTTAATTTACTAAATGAAATGTAAAAAACAAAAGTCAAACTAAAAGACCATTGATGGAATAGCAACAATAACATGTTCATTGACAAGAAGAGCTTAACATTTCAAACAAAAATTAAGCAAAAGAAACACAAAAATAGCCCTCAAAATGATCAGGAGAAAATTAAAAGGCACATAAACCATATTGTACCTATTACATACAGAATCAGTAAGATACTTTTCATATTCCTCATCTGTATATTTGACAACGTCAACTGACTGCATCCACATGACAAAAAATAAATGAATGTTACATCATTGGAATTTATTGATTATTGCAGTTAGTAAAAATATATCCAATGAAAATAAATAAACAATAACACACCTTGTTGTACTTAGCGAATTGATAATCACCAGTAGGAGGAACCCCATTGACTACCCTCACCTGGTAAAGTTAGTTCTATGTTATAGGTGTGACGTATGAAAGGGTAACTCAGTGATTAATAAGAAATGAAAGCTACCCAATGATAAAGCATTAAGTTATCTGTACGTGCAGAGTTGGTAAATGGAAGCCATTGCCATGTGATCTGCACAATAGATAGATTACAATAAAAGAGAATCAGAAAAGCAGGATGTAATATTTCATACTTATAAACTATAATTAGTATTTAAGCAAACAAACAATAACAACAAGAAAGCCTTTATCCCATTATGTGGGGTCGACTACATGAATCCTTTTTCTCCATTGTGTCCTGTAAAATGGTCAAATTCTCATCTAAATCTAAATAAACAAAAAGGTCATAAAATAAGAATCAGATTAAAAAAAGGTAAAAATGTGCCAATAGGATCCCATTAATAAACAATAGAAACAAAGCCCCAATCTCCAAAATATAGTCCACAAAAAGGACTTGAGTTTTGGACTAAATTTTAAAAAGCCTAAAAGGAGGGTTAAATTGAAAAATAATCAAACTTGAGTCAAACGTATAAAAGGGGAAGAGCAGCCATTAGCGGCCATATAAGGGGTGAGACAAAGTTTGAACCATTTCTTGCCCCTTAGGGTTCAACTATGTTGAAAGTGGCATCAGAGCTTAAATCCACTAAAATTTGATACCGTCTACACCATGGATGAGCATTCAAAATCATCACATTCACCTGCTTTGTATTCAAGAACAATTAAAAACATTTTCTAAGAGGGTATGTGCAATTGAAAAAGGCAAATTTTCTTCATCCGAATTCTCACTCAATTATTAAAAAAAAGGGGGACATAATATATTTCAATAAGCACATCTACCTCCAAAAAGATTACTGCTTGAATTTCTAAGCTCTGCAATTCATATAATTACAACTAGTTTTTCTAACAGACGTAACTTTCATGGTTAACAAACAAATCTTAGGTTCAGTTGAGCTAACAAACAAACCTTAGAAAATAACATAGTTGATAGCAAGCGGATAGAATACCTTCTCCTTATCCGCAACCGGTCGCCGCTTCAAGTGAGAAACCTCTATCGTCGGCATGAGAGGCGCTATTCCCCCTGTAAGCGCGTAAACCTACCCAATAGGAATTCATTGAGATTAATGAAGCGTAATGTCGAAGATAAGAAACAGTGTAGGCAATGAACAAAGCATGCATTTTCATCACAGCAAATTAAGAAAATATATTTTAGATAAATCAAGTCATGCCTCGCGTGATATGCCATCGGGCTTCCTCTGAGGCTCTTTCTGCTGCCGAGGCTTCTTCTCCTGCGTGCCGGGGAAAGACTTCGGAAGGCCGAGTATGTCCTTTGCGTCCATATGCTGTCGCCGACGATTTCTAGGGTTAGGGTTTCTTATGCAGCATAGTGCTCGGGTTATCGCGGTACGCTCTCAGACTCAACAAAAGAAAACAAGAGTCTGAAATGAATCCTCAGCGCGCGTTGCATGATCTGATTCTGGACTGAAATTGAGCGGGCCAGCTACGCGAGAAATCGTTTGAGATGTTATTTAATAATTTTTTTTTTTTTTTTGGAAAAATATAAATTTAAATATTAATTAAATATTCTGTAAATATTCAAAAAAAAAAATCACAACCGAGTATTTTATGAGTATTTATAAATACACAATAAATACGCAGCAAATTCAGACGTTCTTCCCGTTTAGACTGCACGTAATAATTTCTCCAACTATGGGACTGTAAAATTTAGGTGTTGTTTGGCAAGAAATTGTTGTGTGTAAGTCCAAACGGGAAGAACCATCCGGATTGTTGTCTATTTAGTGAGTATTTGATGTGTATTTGTAATTACATAATAAATACACAGCAAACCAGTAAATACTCAATAAATACTTAGCAAATACTCATTAAGTACTCAACAACACTCACAATTGAGTATTTACAAATACGCAATAAATCCTCAGCAAATAATAAGTAAATCATGATGGTTCTCACCTTTTGGCAACAAGTAGGATTTAACTTTAGCGGGATTTAGTAAATCCTGTAAATTCGGATTTAGTAAATTCAGAGGATATTAAATCCTAAAAATTGATTAATATGATAAATATTATATCCTATTAAATTCTAAAAAATTGTTTGGTAACATATGTTAAGATTTATAACAGTAAGAGATCTAAATGTGAAGAAACGGTGCTAATTGCATTAATAAGATAGTTATAAATTTAAGATACGTACATACAGCATAAAAAATCTAAGTTGAATCATAATTACACTAATTACACTGGTAATTATTCAACTATTATTTAAAATAATTAATTATTTAACTACTACTCGCACTAATAATTATTTAATGAATTTTTTAAGTGTTATTTTAATAAATTTTATACGATTAATTATCTCATTGATTAATTAAATATTATATTATTAATTAATTAATTAATGATCGCATTATTAAATATACATTTATTTATTTATATTTCAATTTATATCATTCAAGCTAAGTAGGTATATTCTTTATTAAGAATAAGTCATTATTCTCTAATGTTGCCCGAAGTTCCTTGGTACTGACTAGGGTTTGCTTTTGCTCTTCTCCATCTCTTCGTTGTCACCTGCTTCTTTGAGGTAGAGTTTTGAACGAACTCATCAAAACTGCATAAATTCTGTATCGAAGCTACCACTTTCAGATCAACATAATTCTTCACATTATGGAGCGCTCGAAAACCGTTGGTAGGATTCACCGTATATTCGGCATAAAATCCCATACCAAACATCACCTTATTTATTTCTAACATGCCGAATTTGGATGATGTAGCCACCAATGTTGGTGAAGAAATGGTAATAAATACCATGAGTATTAACAATTTTAATTGATTTATGATATATGATATTATTACATGTTTAAAAAAATATATGATATTAGATAGAATATTGAATATTTATATGAAGATTTGATTTATACACATATAAAAGAATATTACAATAGACAGTAAAATTATTTACATGAATAATCTATAAAATAAAATTCATAATGTCTACTTCAGTTGAAATAGCTTACTAATATATATTGTGTGATGCAAAATATTTTCTTCATCAAAATAAATTTTGTGTGAACTGTTGTCTTGGTGTTTAGTGTTCTAAATGTGATTTTTCCTTGAATTTATTTCCTAACCACCTTTCCACATGTTTTCCTTTTTTTAAGTGGTCAGCCCATCAATTCGCAAAGGCAGAACCCGTCGCCCCTCACGATCTCAGTTCGTGAAACCGAACGAAACCCCGTCGCTCCTCCCATTCGCGAACAGCCCCGACTCCATCTCCTCCATTTCGCAAGCCCCGATCTCCCTCTCTCTCGCGCAAGCAGCCTAATAAAGGTTTCCTAGCCCCATTCACAAGAACTGGCCGCATTTCCTTCTCACGGATCTCCGACGCCGATCGTTAGCCCTAGCCGAGGATCTCATCGCTTCCCCTTGTTCGCGTGGATAGCAGCAGTAGCCCCAGCCCATCGCTTCCTCTGTCCTGGCCGACGCCAACATTTTCTAAATCTTGGGTAATTTCCTTTACATCTTCATCTTCTTTCCCTTCCTTTTGGCAATCTTGATGATAAAATAATAAAAAAAAAGATTTAGGAAAGTTTACTGCTATCACCTTCTTCTTCTAAAGCTTTCTCTCCACATTGTTATGTCTTTGTTGGATATGGGTTTTCATTGTCGAATTAGTTATAAGACTTGACGAGTATGAGTTCTTAAAAAAAAAATATCTATACGCATTTGAAGGAGTTTGAGTTGATGTATATAGTATTTCGAAATTCACTGTATATATCAATGCCTTGATAAAAATACATTTTAGCCTTAAGAAATCGTTAATGATTGTAACATGCTTATGCACATTCTTGAATCTTAAATATTGTACCGTGACTTGATATTATGTTATGTGAAGGCTTGTGGGTGTGTTGAAATAACTTTGTCTTTTAGTTTGTTTCAAGCCTGAAAGTATATCAATTAAATATGAAATTGTCTAGTTTTCATTGGAAAATCCTTTAATTTTTTTTTTTTTAAAGAGAATGAAGTTTTCCAACTTCTCTTTCTCTTAATGATTTTTGGCATAATGATTAAGATGAAATGAGTAAATGGGGTGGTGTCATACTTGCAAGAAATGCATCTTTTTCATTTTCTTTGATGATTGTAGCATTCACGGTCAAGGTTATCTATGTTGGTTGCTTTAACTTTAAAGGTTTAAAGGGAAAGTTGGAGGTGTTATATGCATGTTTAGGTCCCTTCTCCTTTAAAGCAATAACTTCTTACTTGAAATCATGATCTATTCTTTTCATAGAAAATGTGTTTATATTATTTATAATAGAGATTTCAAAAGAGCATTGGTTTAAGGGATTGTAACCTAGGATTCTCTTCAGCGTTTAGTGGATCAAACATAGTCTAAACCTTGTGAAAATTTTTCAACATTGATCTACATACTTAATAAATATATTTTCTATAGTTTTTCCATTTGGTTTCACTATTTTGTGTTGACCCAAAACCATAAACTCAAAACATAGTTTTCGTTTTTCATATTTTACTCTATGCCTGACATTTAAAAATTTATTTGAAAAATATCAAAAAAATTACAAAACTTGGTGAAACCCTCATTGAAGACACCCACTTTCATTTCCAAGTGAAATTTTAGGAAAACATTGAATAGATTTGTCCAAGGAAAATGAAGCATCTTAAACCCTATAAATTATGGATCAACACTATACATCATTTTAAATTTTGCAAGCAAATCCCACCACCACATCAAAAAATATTGGTGTTGATTTTAGGAGTTGGAATAGTGTCGATGACACTTATCAACCTTATTCATAATGACTTACATATATAATGTTAGGGATGGCAAGCAAGGATAGTCAAGCAATAGTAGTTGGGAAGATATATTCAGGCAACATAAATATGGTAATAGTATTCCAGAGACTATAGTCGTGCAATAATAGTTAAGAGACTACAATCAAGCAATGGTAGTCAATGTACCATAATCGAGTGATTGTGATTGGGTACAATTGTGGTTAAGAACGTACGATCGAATAATAGTGATTGCTAGTAGGGGTCATTGATGTTGAACATTAAGTAAACTTTGTGTTATTTGGATCTCCAAACTATGGGCCGAACACTAAGCCCAGGTAATGTCCCTCCCTCTAAATTAATTTCTACTTCTACTTATAATAAGGGGTAATTTCAAGGCACCCCTCAAACACACATTTTTTTGCTCTAAAAAGATTCAGTTGCTCGCTTCCCCTCCAATCACGATCCAACTCTCAAATTTTAAGCCAAAATTCAAACTCATATTCATTCATTGAATTATAGCCAATTTGTTATTTTTTTGGATATATTTTGGTAATATTCGCCAAAATGTCAAACATTCATTCAAACAACTCATGTTGATTTCCTCAATAATATGTCGTTTTTGTAGCAGTTAAGTGCCTTAATGAAATTAAATTAGAATATTTTAATTTATCTTGTTGGGACACTTCCTTTAACAATAAGCAAGCGAAATTTCAAGATCGTTTGATCATTCAAATAATATTTTGAAGTTTCCAATTATACATTATGTTATTGATTTAGGTTCCTTTGGACTCAAATAAATTACTTTTTAATGTTGTTGAGTTCATCTCATCAAGACCTTCATTTCAATCATAATTTTGTCAACATCAAAATTTTTATGATCCTAATTTTAACTATGAGTTTTTAATCAAATATTTAAAAAATATATATGATGTAAAAAGTTATCTCCCTTCACAAAATTTTCTAAAAAGTAGGCAAGAATCCAATACCAAACAACTTACAATTTTGGTTTCAAAAATAAAGTAGTGCAAAAGGTGCCATAAATTGGTCATTTTATTTGAAATGCCCGTGCACATAATGCACACGAATAAAATTTTAAAAAATAAATATAGTATTAGGTAGCTAAAAATAATATACTATTCTTTGATAAAATCATAAACTTATTAATTTTCTTTATACATAACTCTAACTTAGTGGAAAGTTATAAACATCACTTTTATATAATAATTGAGTAAATTCTGTAATTATTTATTTTGCTCATTTTATAAAATTAATTAGAGTTTGACCCCAAAGAATTCTTCATGAACCTACTTTATAGCTATAATATGTAGTAAAAATAATACTAATTAGTGATGGCTCATGTTATCCAAGAAGCATACATTTTAAACGAAAAACTAAACAGTGGCATTTTTATTTGATTGTCTTCATAATCATTTACTTTGTCCTAACTATCAGATGGTTTGTGCAATCTGTTTCACTAAACAAGGGGTCAGATCAAAAGATTTTACAGTCGGAATGAAAATGTACGATAAAGGCTCAAATGCACGTAAAAGTGCTCATCGAATCACACATATTTTAAAACAAGATAATTGACAATGTGTGATCGAGAGGAATAAATTTCAAAGCCTAGAACAAATTGAGGAAAAAAATGCGTGATTTGACTCTTCATCAGAACTGACGGCGTAACGTGCACGCAAGGATGGACCGACCCACGAAATATATAATACAACTATGTTAGTGACCAATGTTAAAAAGGAGGTCAATACCAAAGAATCAAACAAGATGGCCAAAGTACTAAGTTTCTCTTAAAAGCCTAAGCTTCTTCAGTTTCCCTAGTATAATTGGTCTTAATTCTTTTTTAAATTGTTATAATGTTAAAAAATATTTAAACAATTAGTGTATGTACTAATTTTATTATTAAAATGAAAATATACTACGCGTTTCTTCAAATAATTTCTTCACTTCGGAATGAAGGCCTCAAATTAGTTTGAATTTTTATATGTGAAAAATTGTATGGATCTCACATTTTATTGAAACATGAATTAATGCACCTCATCTCTAGAAACTCTCCTACTTGGTCACCCATAGTCTATTCAGCCACTAAGTTCGCTCGGACAGTTTTCGCCTATTTCTTAATCATGGTTTTGCATCTGTAATACAACTATTTTTTCTTCTGTAAAATTTCTTCATTTGCTTCTTTGATGTGTGGGGAGGTATCCTAATTTAGTCTTTTTTTTTCATCATACGATTTTCTCATGGACCAAAGTTCAATGGAAGTTAGAACATTTTTATGCTACAAAAAAAAAAAAAGGAAAAATTGGGAAGTCAATTAAATGAAGTTGCATGCTTATCAACAAAAATCAAGAGAGATGTTGTAGGGGCTTACAAATTTTAAGAACTTCGTTATTACTCATGTTAAAAAGTGAGGAACATGTTGTTGACCTCATTTTTATATATGAGTTCAATTTCCTCAAACTGATCTTTAGTGCCTAGGTTTTCACAGCCTAATGTAGACATGTCCACAAGCGAAATCCCCCTTAGGTGGATCCCTATTGACGTAGCATTGACTCAGCCTATTAATTCGACCCAAATCGTACCCAATTTGACCAAATCCAATTTAATTCCGAACAAACTGGCATAATTGAACCTCGCTGACTCGAACCCAAATTGAAATTGATATCTTTGATCTATCGGCCAGATCGTCGCGATAATTTGAACCGAATTTATGTTAACTAGAATAAATCAGACACTAATTGAACTCAGTTTCGACCTTATCGACATAAAATAAATCAAAATTACATAATTTTAACACAATTAGAAATAAATCGATATGTCTTGAATCAATTGAAGTTAAATCGATGTTGATTGAAGCACGCTGATGCAAATCAACGTGATACTAAATTAATTTGACTCGAATCGAGTTTGATTTGCCCAAATTAATTCGCCTCAACTCAATTGAAATCGAATTGGAATAAATGAGATAAAATTAATCATTTAAAATTATACTTTAAAAAAAAATTAACAAAAAATAATTATTTAAATTATCAATTTCAATTCAAATCAACGCCTCAAATTTCCTTTATTTAACAAGTTATAAGCGGGGTAAGATGATATGGCGACGTGCATTTCGAAGGGGGGCGATTTTTTTTGCGATCAAATAGGTGGAGTCAGGGCAGTTCAAAGAACGGGTTTTCTTCTCTTCCATTTCGATTCTCGCGACTCTTCCTTCCTCCATTCGTTCGTGCGACCAAGATAGGACGAGAGAGAGGGGCGGATTCCATTCCAGAAGTAGAGTAGGAGAAAGACGGACGGAGGCCTGGTAGGCGGGCTTGTGTCGAGGGCGATCCGTCGTTTGGGATTCGGTAATCTCCTTGCCACATTCTTCCTCATTCTCTCCTTCTTTCTCATCTCAATATTCTTCATTGTCTTTTCCATTTTCATCTTCCCTTTCTCTTCACCCGACCCCTCTTCCTCTTCCCCTTAATCTTCTTCTTCTTCCATTCTTAGATGGCCTTATTCAATTAAATTTAAGCATTGAGTGTTTTTGGACCTTGATCGTCTTGAAAAAAAAAAATAAAAGATGAATGAAAGGTTATTTTCAGGAGATTTTCAATTACTGAAGGAAGCATAAAATTAAGCCGTTGTATTTTCATTTCCTCTCTTTGGAATTGTGGATATAATATCCTATGCCTGTGTTGAAATTTGAAGTGTTTGTTTA